GCTACAGGCGGCTACTGTAGAAGTCGGAGAGAGGGAAGAAGGTTGGTTGGTCAGCAGCTGCTACAAGGAAGAGCTGAACAGGTTCAATGTGGAGGAAAAGGGGGCAAAAAAAACCCAAGCCAAGGACAAACTCAAAAGGGAGGACGCTGGGATTCAGGGGTTGGATGGCTACCTTCTAGGCAACAGTCGGCACAGGACAGGAAAGGGAGAGTTGGTGTTACATATTCGGTGTAAGAGGTCCAGATCCTGTCATCTGTCTGGTCATGGGCGAAGGCACAGGTGCCTGTGGAGTTGCAAGCCACCATATGGAAGCCAGCGTCAGCCAGTTTATCAAAGGCTTGCTCTAGGAAGGTGAATTTGAGGTAGTAACTGGAGGTGTACCTCTCCGGGGGCCTGTCTGGGTCCCTGCTCTCATTCAAGGTATCACCAAAGACCTCCTTGGCCAGCGATGTCTTGCCACAGACCATGATCCGTGCCACCCTGCGGAACTTGGCGTCTGTCTGGCTATCCCTGCCCAAGGTGTAGGAGCCCCGGTAGCTTGCTCTAGGAAGGTGAATTTGAGGTAGTACCTGGAGGTGTACCTCTCCGGGGGCCTGTCTGGGTCCCTGCTCTCATTCAAGGTATCACCAAAGACCTCCTTGGCCAGCGATGTCTTGCCACAGACCATGATCCGTGCCACCCTGCGGAACTTGGCGTCTGTCTGGCTATCCCTGCCCAAGGTGTAGGAGCCCCGGTAGCCGATGGTGATGAAACCTGCCCTGCGGACATCAGCGCCTGCAGCACCTATGCTGGTGGTGACAGCAGCCCCAGGGCCACCAGCCAGGGCACTGGGGAGCATGGTACTGGCAGAGGTCAGGTTGCGGGTGGCGTCAGCATTGGGGGAGAGCTCCTCCGGGTCACTTTGGCATGGGTCATCTCCCAGTGAGTTCTGCTTGCTGAGCTTGGGGGCCAGCATCTTCACAAGCTCCGGCAGCATGAAGTACTCAGCCTCTCGCTGCAGGCGACTCCTCTCTGGGAAGTGGTCAGGCAGCACCAGCTGCTGGTCCCTCATGTAATCCAAGATGTAACGGAAGAGGAAGCCATCCCGATCCACGAAGAAACGTCCCTTGCTGTCACGGGCCAGGGAGCGGATGTTCTTCTGAGTGAACATCTCCCAGAGGAGCGAGCCAGGCACACTGACCAGGGTAGGGTGGCGGGTGATGTAGACTTGTCCACCCACATTGAGTTCAATGATCTCAGGGAAAGGGAAGTCCTCACTGGGTTTGGCACAGCCTGCGTTGTCTGCCAGAGCCATAGTGAGCTACTGCTGCCTTCCCACCTGCAATGAAAAGCATAAACGAGCCGATGGGAAGCCTGCCAGCAAATGCAGCTCATTGTCCCACCAAACCCAAGCCAGAACACACTTGCTTTGGGTCAGCAAGCAGTGCAGGATCAGGCTCCTGTCTCTCCAGGAGTCTAGAAATCACCTCTTATCCCTAATCCCTGGCTCTTGGAATAAGCAGCATTAGCTAACGTTGCTTTCTCTTCCACACCACAAGAAGGGAAGAGCATTACCCATGGCTTGAACACACCATCTCCACCTGCAGTACTCCCAACACTCAGCTCCCAGGGCTGGGACTCAGCACCTTTGCCAAGCAAGGCACGGTGACACTGTACAGATGTTAACAACAGGAAAGCCAGGACTGTCACACCCTGGCCCAGCATCCTGCTGTCAGGAGGAGCCGCTGAGCGTGCCAAGGGAGGACCGCATTACAGCACAGTGTCTCCTGCCAAACCGGTGAGCTGGAGGGGATGGTCCCATGTCAGGAGCACCCACAGGTCTGCCAGGAAAGCAATGCTAGATACCACTATAAAGGACAGAGCGACAGTGCCTTTTAGCACTCCTGCTCCATCCTTCCCCTGGAAAGTACACAAAGACCCGAGGCCAAGCTGAGAGCAGGTAAGAGACAGCAGGATCTCTCCAAGGGTCTGGGATCAAGACAAATACTGGGCTACTGGGACAGCCTTGGGCCAGATGCCACATATTTACACACTTCCCAAAGGCAAACTGATTCTTAGGCATCTCTCAACACCACAAATCAGGGCTTACATAAACCTGGCTCAGCAGACAGACTCCTGATCCAGCCTAGCTAAACCATACTTTAGATTTAAGAGACCGTGGAGAAGAAGGGTTTCCCTGTGTGGTCCCAAACTGCCTGGCAGGGCTGGGCTGAAGCTCTGCCCATTGCCCTGCATGATGTTAGTGCAGCCCTGGGATGCTCAGAAGCTGTCAGGAGCTGCCTGGAACCCCTCAGGGACTAATCCCACAGCCAAGAACCAACACTGCAGGATCATCAGCAGAAAAGGATCCCAAGACAGGTTTCAGAGAAGCTAAAGGGCAAAGAGAAAACTCTGTGGGCACTTTTGGGTGGTGGGGAGAGCTGAGCCCACAGCTCCTGGCCAGATGCCTCCTCCAGCTCAGAGGGTGCTCAGGGAGAAGCACTGGAAGAGGCTGGAAAGATGGGAAAGGGGGACCAGATGGTCCACCCAGCTTCCCAACCCCTCTCTGCAGTGGCTTTTAGCCCCTTAGGTGACATGCCCACACCACTGTCCCCTATTACAGCAAACCCGGTCAGGACCAGACCCCTTTGTCACAGGTGAGTGTGGGGGGG